AGTTCCGGGGGGGAGGGGAGGGGGCGGTGCAGGTGAGTGGTGGGGAAGGGGGGGTTCTTCAGCCTCATCATTCTCATCCTCCCTGTCCTCCCCATCCTTCTCGTCCCCATCCTTCCCGTCCTCATCCTCCCCATTCTTGTCCTCACCATCCTCATTCTCACCATCCTCGTCCTTATCATCCTCGTCATCATCATTCTCATCATCCTCATCCTCACCATCCTCATTCTCCCCATCCTCGTCCTCATCGTCCTCATCATCCTCATCATCCTCATCCTCCCCATCCTCATTCTCCCCATCCTCATCCTTATCATCCTCATCATCATCATTCTCGTCATCCTCATCCTCATCATCCTCATCCTCATCATCCTCACCATCCTCATCCTCCCCATCCTCATTCTCCCCATCCTCGTTCTCGTCGTCCTCATCCTCATCATCCTCACCATCCTCATCCTCCCCATCCTCATTCTCCCCATCCTCGTCCTCATCATCCTCATCATCCTCATCCTCCCCATCTTCATCCTCCCCATCCTCATTCTCCCCATCCTCGTCCTCATTGTCCTCATCGTTCTCATCCTCATCATCCTCATCCTCATCATCCTCACCATCCTCATCCTCCCCATCCTCATTCTCCCCATCCTCGTCCTCATTGTCCTCATCGTTCTCATCCTCATCATCCTCATCCTCCCCACCTTCATCATCCTCACCATCCTCATGCTCCCCATCCTCATCCTCATCATCCTCATCATCATCATCCTCATCATCCTCATCCTCGTCCTTATATCCTCGCCATCCTCATCCTCCCCATTCTCATTCTCCCCATCGTCGTCCTCATCGTCCTCATTGTCCTCATCATCCTCATCATCCTCATCCTCCCCATCTTCATCATCCTCGCCATCCTCATCCTCCCCATTCTCATTCTCCCCATCGTCGTCCTCATCGTCCTCATTGTCCTCATCATCCTCATCATCCTCATCCTCGTCCTTATCGTTCTCATCATTCTCATTCTCATCATCTTCATCATCCTCACCAT